TGTTTATTTTAACTGATTTTAAGAAGTGATGTTTTGATGTTTCATTCCTGACTTCAATTTGTGTCAACAATTACTTTGAGACTAAGAAAAGTTGAATTTGTTAAATAGATTAATCTCATAAACATTCTATTTATTGGGTTTGTTCAATTCGAAGCAAAGAAACGCCTTTTTCTTTCTTCTTTCTGCTTCTCTTGCCTGTTTACAGCCTCGACAAGACTTTTTGGTACCTTGTCTTTCTCCCAGTCACGTAAAATATTATCTAAATACTCAAAACTTTCCGCCATTTTAAAACACAGAGGGGGAAAACCTTTGTAATGATGACGTCAATCGTGCGTCTGTCCTCTAATAGATCATGGGCGAAAACCAATCAAACTGCGAGAATAAGTTGGGTTATTATATAAAACACAATGGACTCCTGCTCTGCTAGATTTTGTCAAGCGTAAATTTATTCATTTTAGACAGCTTGAAAATTCCTAACATTCCAACCGTACTATCATCAGCCTGTTTTCTACTGCTCTAGACTGCGAGCAGTTTCTTTTTTGCTCAAAATTCCGTGGGGAAGAACTCAAAGAAGAACGAAACAGAAGTGAGTGGTCGTGAGCGTGGGCGTGTGTCATGCGAAGCCGCGAGCCGCAAGAAGGGCGGACGTCGGAAGCCGAGCAACGCCCGCGCTATTGCGGCTCGCACCTCACGCGCGCAATTACGCTCACACGTTCACTTGTTTTGCGTTTTTCCCCACACATTTCCGAGCAAAAAGGGAGACTGCTCGCAATCTACCACTGTTCCCATTCCTTGTCAGTTCTATTCCTTATAGCGCCCTTGCCTCTCTATTCTCTCGCTCTTGGGGGTAAGACTGATGATTGCGGGTTCAACCTTTATTTCAGCCCCTCACCTAGTCACTATGGGATTCCGACAGGATCCCTCCCAGATCCTGGTTCTATATTGACCTGGGTTGTTACAACAAGGGACGCATGGTATTTTTTGTGATGAATTCCCCTTAATGATCTTAATACGTGTACTTTACGATATGCTTCAGATTTATTATTTCTCCTCTACTTTGGACAAATGCGTGCAAATTTGTTCTCATCAGTAAAGTGAGACCATGATTCATAAAGTCCCCTGAGTGCGTTGAAAAGTCTTAAAACCGAAAACTTAAAACGTTTCTCTGACGTCTTATTGAGTTGTTTTTTTTTTTTGTATCTAGCGATACAAATGCATCATAACTACCACTCAGACAAACGCCTTTTGGTTTAAAATGCGTTAACATTTAAATTCGAAACTGCTTTCGATTTTGCTTGTCTTGAATATCGAGAGTTTTAATTCAGAGTCTTCAAGCAGGCAACGGAAATTATCCAATTATCATGTATGAAGGAGGCATGAAGGCTTCTTAATTTTCCTCCTTAGAGCACCACAATGAAATAAGAGCCCCAGTCGCTAAATCAAAACAAACCGCTATCAGTGATTATTTTAATTTGCTAGTGTATAACCGACGTATGGTCATTGCAGGTGCAAGTCTGCCATATATAGGACGTCAGAAATAAGATTAATTATTAACTTATTTGCAAATGTATCATGCATGACATGGTATAAGTAAGCTTATTAAAGTAACTATCCTTTTCAAAGCAAGCGAAAATTTTCTTCCCTATCAACTCTTATAGGTTGTCCAAGCGGCCCCTCGATCATTGCATGTAAAGAAGGATGACTCTGCAGCCATTTCAGGACGAGCAGTTAAACTATTTCAAGTTTGCTTCCATTGTATTGAATGAATTCCCCAAGGCCTTACGCCAAACTTTCAAATCCATGTGGGACAACACCTTTGGACATCTCCCTGGTTTCCAGCCGTGGGATGACTCTATTGCAGTAAGAAATCTGTTTCTTAATTCAGAAGGTGGCAGGACCAAAGTTCCCACAAACATCTCTTACGAAAAATGGGATTGCACAGCCTTGTTCCAGGCCACTATTTACGCGCGGTCCTTCGCTTTGCCCGACAGCAAAGGTCATCACAAGATACTCAGTGATCTGTATGTGAAGTCTCGTGGAAAGTTCCATGCATCTGTCTTGAGCCGGGCGGGAGACAAGACGGAAACACTTGCACTTGCAATTGATCAACTTCGACTGTTAAGGAACACACTTTGTCACTCAACCAATTCTGAGATTGACAAAGCAACATTTGATCAATATGTGCAGCTCTCTAAAGATGCATTCAAAGCTCTTGGAGTCAAGGCAGATCCTATTGATGTCATTGGTGGTTTGACTGAGTCGGACTTTCCCACAAAAGAAGTTCGCAAATTGGAGCAAGCCAGGAAACAGGAGACCCGGGAATATATCAAGTTTCTCGAGGGCATGAGTTCAGACATCGACGAATTAAGAGCGCTATCAACTGCAATAAAAGGGGAAGTAGAAGGCAGTGCAAGTAAAGAGGACCTTGCTGTGTTAGAGCAAAGTATCAATGATTTGAGACAAGCACTACCTCAAGACAAACCAGGTAAAGATTCAGTTGTTGCAGTACAGCTGGTAAATCAGCACAATCTAAAATTCATCGCTTACAGTGAGAGTTATAAGGCGTTTAGTTAGGGCAGAACGAAGTATACGGTGCAAAACTTTAATTTGTGCCGCCTAGTTACTTCGTCTCGCCCAAACAAACTGCTCATGAGTGAATCCATAACTCGGAGGACGCCCGCCTATGAATGCAAAGAGGTTAATTATTACCAGTGGGCGACCATTTGATTACCTTATTTATTCATTTTTCCACGGGTGTGGATTTTCTAGGCTCGAATTAAGAGAAAAGGCCAAGGGAACAAAGTTAAGTCCTATCCTTTTCCAGATTGGTCTGAGGCTAAAATGCCAAAAAAATATCGTGGATAGCGATTAATCATTAAAACGAAAACTTTTCCGACCTGGCGCTATCAGTTAGCTTATGCCATAAGAGACTGTTGGTTCATGCTTTTAGATGCAAGTTTATCGAGTTATCTATTCACTTCGGAGATTACAAAGCATTCCAAAAGCTGGAGTTGTTTCCTACCCCAGGCGAAGCCTCCAATAGTTTTTACACTTCGCTTTTCCCCCTGGCATACTCTCCCGCACATCTGTAAGACCTATAACTCCAGAGACGCACGTTGAAATGTAATAAGAAAGAAAGTCTTTATTGAGACTAACTTAGTCCACGTAAGAATGAATTATATTTACAGCAATGATAGACGCTTGCGCTCATGTTGAGAGCAAATGTAGAGCCTTTAGCCTTTCTTCAGTAGTCGGAACATTAATGTGACAAATGGCTGACTGAAGGCTTAAATCTCACTAATAGATGGTGGTTACATATAACTAATTTTATCAACATATGTTAATTAAGGCATAACTTAAAAGTGTTTTACTTGCCCGTAACGTAGAACGGAACTAATATCCTTGCTATATTTAGATCCAGGTCGCCATATATAGTGTTGCTGACACGTGAGTACGCATCTGCTGGATTTGCCTTGTTCTGCCCCCATGGTCAAATTCTCGACATCCATTTTTTTAGATTTTCGTACAAAACAGGTCTTTCCTAGATATCTTGCCAAATTTCAATCTATTACGAACATTAGAACGCACGTGTTTTGGACCTATATTTCCGAGAATTCAGGACCGCCATTAATTTCCTTGTTTCAAGTATTGGTTGAGAATTGGAGTAAATACCACACGGGTCGAATTATAATAACAATTAGTACAGAATTCGCATAAAGAATAACAAAACCTTTGGATCTTATATTCGTCCAATTTTGTACACTAACTGTTTTCGTAATTTCAACCCATGAGGTATTTTTAAGCAAATGACGTCATTTTCTATAAATTCTCAGCCAAGACTTAGACCAAGGAAAATTAATAGCGACCGTAAATTCTCGAAAAATAAAGGTCCAAAAACGTGAGTTCTAATGCTCGTAATAGATTGAAATTGGCAAGATATCTAAGGAAGACCTATTATATATAAAAATGTGAAAAAAATGAGCACTTTGACAGGTATGAACGTTTTCCGTGTAAATATTCTTCATGATTATTAATGGTTTGCTCTTGTGTTCCAAAAGATTCAAAGCCATCTCTCCCAATATCACGTCTTGCTCCAATGGTTCCACACTTCCTTGACCAGGAAGAACACCCAAGCACAGCTGACAGTTACCATACACTCGGGGACACACAACAAGCACAAGGTGACTTTTCTTCTGCTATTAGGTCTAAACAGCGTGCACTTGATATCAGGCTTAAACTTTTTGGAGAGGAACACTCAAGCACAGCTGACAGTTACCATACACTCGGTGACGCACAACATGCACAAGGTGACTTTTCTTCAGCTTTTCAGTCTAAACAGCGTGCACTTGATATCAGGCTTAAACTGTTTGGCGAACAAAACCCAAGGACAGCTGACAGTTACCATACACTCGGGGATACACAACATGCGTTAGGTGACTTTTCCTCGGCTCTTCAGTCTAAACAGCATGCACTTGATATCAGGCTTAAACTGTTTGGAGAAGAACACTCAACCACAGCTGACAGTCTCCATTCACTCGGAGACACACAACAAGCCCAAGGCGACTGTTCCTCGGCTCTTCAGTCTAAACAGCGTGCTCTTGACATCAGACGTAAACTGTTTGGAGAGGAACATTCCAGCATAGCTGACAGTTACCATACACTCGGGGACACACAGCATGCACAAGGTGACTTTTCCTCAGCTTTTCAATCTAAACAGCGTGCACTTGATATCAGGCTTAAACTGTTTGGCGAACAAAACCCAAGGACAGCTGACAGTTACCATACACTCGGGGATACACAACATGCGTTAGGTGACTTTTCCTCGGCTCTTCAGTCTAAACAGCATGCACTTGATATCAGGCTTAAACTGTTTGGAGAAGAACACTCAACCACAGCTGACAGTCTCCATTCACTCGGAGACACACAACAAGCCCAAGGCGACTGTTCCTCGGCTCTTCAGTCTAAACAGCGTGCTCTTGACATCAGACGTAAACTGTTTGGAGAGGAACATTCCAGCATAGCTGACAGTTACCATACACTCGGGGACACACAGCATGCACAAGGTGACTTTTCCTCAGCTCGTCAGTCTAAACAACGTGCACATGATATCAGGCTTGAACTGTTTGGCGAACAAAACCCAAGCACAGCTGATACCCTTACCTAACAGAAGACTATTTTTAATCTGTTTTTAAACTGTTTTGAAAAACTATTTTAACCTGCTTTTGTGAAACAGTTTAATAATTACTGTTTAAAGCGGTAAAGCGGAGCCCCATACTCATACAAAACCAGCGAATCGCTTGTCTCATGATACAAATGGCTAGAGGTATTCCTTGTGGGTGCGTACGCACGACGACGACGACGTCGCACAACATGGCGGCCATACTCCAGCTAATATATAGATTTAACCAAACCTAAAAGCGGAGCTCCTGGGCCGGTTATCAGAGCCCGATTAAGATAACCCAGGTTAAGCGAGGATTGTGAGCTGAGTTTTGTAGCTTTGCGGTGAAATTTTCTGTTTATTGTTTGGCCTTCTGTTTTGAATTTGAATGATCTCAAAATACACAAAACAAAATCAGTGAAAAACATTTGTATACAAGAAAAAATTATGCTTCATTTATCTTTCAATCCTGGGTTGCATTAACCGGCTTTCGAACAACCCGGCCCTGTTTAGAACAAGTTAACCTGGCAGGAGACCGCGATCCAAAAGAAAGCCAGCACTTGGTCAGCGGTCAACTACAACCCCTCGATGAGCTCTAAACTTGAGCCCACGATACGGTCACGTGATACTGGTCAGCGGAAACCTTCTTTAGACTTGTGCCAATTGACCGTAACATGGATGTCCAATTGTATCGAAGAAGGAGGCTATAAATCAATGCTGCATGTCTCTTTCAACTTGATAGCTGGAGTATGGCCGGCATCTTGCGCGATTCCGTATCGCATGGGCCCGAGAGCAATTAGAACAATCACATGAGTTTTGGAGGGCACATAGTTTATTTGTGGCCCGAACAGCATCATATGATGCTACGAGGGACTCAAATAAACTATATGCCCGACAACAGTCATTTGATTATCATTATTATCAATAAACGTAAGGCCAAATCGTACAAATTCATGTTCTGGTTTCGCGTCATTTTCTTTCGTAAATGGCTTAGCCTTCGCTTCAAACATTTTGTTGGCAGACATGAATTCGCTGTCTTGCAAAATGTTTATGTTTCGGCTGAGTGGAGCACAGGTTAGATGGCCATAAATGGCCGCTCTAATTCCAGTCGATGCACTTAGAGTAATGCTTGGCCCTTCTTTGTTTTCCCTTTAGCGAAGAACTTTCGCAGAATTTCACTCAAATCCGTTGGACTTACTGTTTTGAGATCCAATGTAATTTTTCTTTTCTCGCACCATTTCTCGAACTTTCTTACTCCCCGCTCAGTTGTTTTCTTGGTGTTTTTCGCTTGAGCTTTTTGCTCAATTTCATCCAGTTGATCGTTGTCAAAGTCCAAGTTTTGACTAGAAAAAAGCTGAAAATTTGGGACTTCAAAATCTCCCAACGTCAAACGTTCACTACAGAACTACAAAGTGAGCAAGTGCAAACTCATACACAAAAATTCGTGCCAACTCTAATGATATCCTCGGGATATCATTGGCCGTGCGAAGTTGTTTGACATCTCTGCAGCCAATCGGAATCAGGGCGGCAAATGCGTTTTCACCCCGCGCATTTTCCGTTTGGCCCGCAAAATGGCGCGTTTTACAGAGGGCAGTTTGTCATTTGGCCGCGCGTATTGATAATAATAGGGATTAATTTCTGCGCATTTTCAAAGTTTTCACAAAATTGCCTGAGCCGCGAAGCGACGAGGGCAATTTGGAAAACTTTGAAAATACGTGTGAAATTAATCCCTACTATTCGTACGACACGAGCCGTCCCCACTTAAACTTTTTTCAGGTTGCGAATCGATGCATTTTTTGATGGCAAAATCCTTCTACTTTTCCACCAAAAGACTGCGCTTTGTTGCATGTCTGTTTTCTCTCACGTTAGGATAAAATAACCGCGTTTAGATCAGACTCAGACGCGATGGATTTCTGAAACCGTTTGAAGCGGGAAACTAACGGCAATTTGAAACCAACTTAATGTAGCGTGCTCAGCCAATCAGCAACAAGTAATCATGCCCCCTTGATTACTAAAAGTGCCCTCGTGATTAAGAAAAACTGGCCTCTGTCTGAGCCAGTCAGCATTCAGTAATTTTGCCCCGTATGTGATAACCATGAGAAAATCAGGTCATGGGTTTCCTTTTCTGTCCTATATTGGTATGGGGCTCCGCTTGGCAGCCCTTTGGGCCGCCGGAACTCCGCTAATAGGACATGCGGCCTTAGTAAACCGCGTACATCGTTGATATTGGAAATTCATTTTATGGTCAATTGACACCTGTCAAAACAAGGTATTCGCCGGTCAGTATCACGTGACCATATTGCGGGCTCAAGTTTAGATCTCATCGGGGTCACGTGTTTTTTTTTAATCTAACCGCTGACCAAGAGACGGCTTTTCGATTAAATCGCGGTCTCAAACAAGGTTAACTTTCTGTAATCAAGGACCCGTTTCTCGAAGGTTCCGAAAGTTTTCGCACCCGGAAAGCCATAACAAAATCTTAAATCTTACGATTAAAGAGCTGTTTTATTCATACATGCTTAAAATAAACAGGGGTTCTTTTCATACTAGGCGTTTCAGGCGTATACACCCCTCTGGTTTTAGATACAGATAAATTAAAAATGGCTTTGCACGTCTAGAAAGTTTCCGGGGCTTTCGAGAAACAGGCTCCAGGGCCGGGTTGCTCGGTTGACGCTAACCCAGCATTAAAAGTTAACCGAAGTATAAATATCTCTTGTTTAAAAACGTTTTTCGCTGCCTATGTTTTGTGCAGTTTGAGATTATTCAAACTCAGTGGGCCAAACAATATACGCAAAAAACCTCACTGCCAAGTTAAAAAAACAACAACTCAAAATTCTTACTAATCCTGGGTTAGCTTGATTAGGCTTTGAACAACCCGGCCCAGGAGCTCCGCTTTTAATTCTGGCTAACTCTGTATATTAATTAATCAAGTTTAAACAAAGGAAATCATGACTGTGACGGTGTTTGAATATCTCATCTTAATTAGCATAGATTTTTACCATTTTATTTCTGCGTTTTCTCCTTAGTCTTAGTTTCCATTGAGAAGATATGTAATTTGTGATGATCTTAAATTAGCATAAATTACTATTTTGCCGGCACGGACCAGAGGGCTGGGTACGGGTTTGAGGTGCGCAGTGTATAGTGGGATTTGAGTTTGTAATCGGTGACAGTTGGCGAGGTGAGACATTCTATGGCCAGCCTTTGCCGTGTTTAGGTTAAGTTTGGTTTTCTTTTAATAATATCATGAGTTGTAATCCACTGTTGTACGTTTATTTAGTTCTCTTATTGCTATTATATCGCTGTATAAAGCCTTAGGTTTATTATTCTACAGTACTGATGTTAAC